CGGGGGTGACTTTCCCATGGGGATCTCCAAGCATCAGCAGTGGCAGAGCCAGGAAGGCAGGAGGGAGCCTTCCCTGAGGAGTCTGCCCGCAGGCTGCCAGGAAGATGTCATCTTGGCTGCCTTGCCTTCACCCTGGTTATGAAATAAATGTGCCTGGGGCAAGGCCCTCCTGAGTCACACACTCGATCCTGCACGGACTGGAACCAAGTGCCTGACTTCTGGCCTGTGCCCCAACCCACCACCCAGGAGTTCCCTCCTAGACACAGCTGGAGGAAAGAGAAAGGCTCTCAGGGCTGGAGGTCAGGTGCTCAGACTCCTAGGTGCTTTCCTCCAGCACTGTGGAAGGCTCAGATGCTTCCCTGGGAGCCCATGGGTGACGCTTATTAGTGAGGTCCAACCCCTGAGACCTCTTCTTGGAGTTTCCCCATCCTCCACCCTGCTTTTGTTCCTCTGCAGGGATGTGCGGAGGCTGCCCAGGGTAACAGGATATTGGCCCAGATGTTATTGTTTACTGGTTTTACTTTTTTCATCTGTAGGGTGGGGGAGGAGACTGACTCCCCTCTTACAATCTGGGGTTCTGTGATTTCATGTAGTGGGAGCCATGGAAGGATGAAGAGGGAAGGAAGAGGCTGAGTGCCCCAAGGCTGGCAGGACTATGCTGGGGTGGGGTGGGGGTAGGGTGAGGTATGGTGAAGAGGAGACTGAGACGGGAAAGGGGCAGCTAGAGGCTTAGTGTCTTGGCTGAGAGTGGTAGCTGTATGCAAATGATATGCAAACGACACTGAGCATATGCAAATGAATGCTTTGTTGGGAGAGGGGGCAGCGTGTATCAGCTGGGCTGGCCAGAAGGTTGGCAGGCACTGGGGGAGGGGATCATCTGCCCCAGGCCAGGGCAGAGCCTGGTTCTAGCCCCAGAAGCCCCAGCTGCCTTGGCAGCCCTGCGGGGTGGAAGAAGCAGTGAGCTCATGGCACAGCTGGCGGGGAGGGCATTGTGTGGTGAGAACTAATGGGTCATGCCCTGTCCGCCGCAGGCCCCTGGCTCCATTGTCCGGCCCAGGTGACACAGCTGAGCCAACCGGTCCTTCTGAGTAGGAAGGATGGGGACCTGAGGCTGGGCTGGAAGCAGGGACAGGGGCAGGCACACTCTGTTCTGCTGGGATGCTGTCTGGATGGCCGGAAGTGGGGGTGTTCCTGGGTTCTGAGGCCAAGCTGGGCCTGTGCCACCTCTTTGAGTCCTGGATCCCTTTCGTCCCAGCATTCCTTCCCTGTTCTCAGAACAGGGCCAGCTGCGTACCAACTTTACCTAGGTTTCTCTTCCATTCACTGGCAGAAGTCAGGATTGGTGCTAGTGGAGCTGGGTGTGGACAGGGACTCAGGCAACTCTGACTCCTTCTTTTCCCCACAGGAATTGGGTGCTGTGCCCGGGAGGTGCTGGTCCCTAAGGGGCCCCTGTACCGTGTGGCTGGCACCACTGTCTTCATCCCCTGTAATGTGAGCGGCTACGAGGGCCCTGCCCAGCAAGACTTCGAGTGGTTCCAGTACAGGCCCAAGGCCCCAGAGACTGCACTGAGCATAATCAGCACAAGAGACGCCCAGTTCTCTTACGCGGTGTTTGCGGCCCGCGTGGAGGCCGGTGAACTGCAGATGCAGCGTCTCCAGGGTGATGCGGTGCTGCTCAGGATCGCCCACCTGCAGGCCCAGGATGCAGGAGTTTACGAATGTTACACTCCCTCCACTGATACCCGCTATCTGGGCAACTACAGTGGCAAGGTGGAGCTGAGAGGTACCGGACCCTGGGATGGGGTGGGCCACGCCCGCTCTCAGGGCAGAAATCAGGGTAGGGGACTAACTACCCTCAGGCTTTGCATTTGGGGAACTTGGAGGCTTCAGAATCACACAGTGGATCAGTGGCTGGTGGGAGACCCAAACCCAGATGTCTTCCTTGCAGTCACTGTTGCTTGTTGATCAGGCTGTCTCCTGGGAGAAGGGGAAGTGTCCTTGTGTGGGCCAGCGCTCCGCTCTGTTCCCCACAGGCTGGGGAAGACTGATGGGTTTAACAGACTCCATTCCTGGAGGCCGGAACCCAGCACTGGGGTGGGGAGAGTAGTAGAAGTTAGACCGTGTGCCATTCCCACTCTTAAATTTGTCTTCTAAGAGCTACTTTTCTTAGTATCAAACAGAGGCCAGTGTCAAACAAAAAGGTGCAAGGCCATGGGTTGGTTTGTGCAATTCAGAAGTATCTATTTATTTTTCGGTGCTGGGGACCAAACTCAGGACCTTGCGCTCGCGAGGCAGGTGTGGTGCCACTGAGCTAAATCCCTAGCCCTCAGCAAGTATTTATGGAGCGCCTTGGTATGCCCAGCACAGCGGTACTGCTGGGCTCCAGAGGAAATGATACAACATTCAGCCTTTGCCCTCTCGGCGCGCACAGGCTGCCGGCTCCCAGCCCTCCCTCATTCCAGCTGTCCTCTCTAGTTCTTCCAGATACACTGCAGGTGTCTGCTGCACCCCCGGGCCCCCGAGGCCGCCAGGCCCCAACCTCGCCCCCGCGCCTGACTGTGTACGAGGGACAGGAGCTGGCCCTGGGCTGCCTGGCGCAGACGAGCACACAGCAGCACACACACGTGGCTGTGTCCTTCGGGCGAGCGCTACCTGAAGCGCCAGTGGGCCGAGCAACTCTGCAGGAAGTGGTGGGACTGCGGTCTGACCTGGCTGTGGAGGCCGGGGGTCCCTATGCAGAGCGACTGACAGCCGGGGAGCTGAGGCTGGGCAAGGAAGGGGCTGATCGGTACCGCATGGTGGTGGGAGGCATCCAGGCGGGGGACGCAGGCACCTACCACTGTACTGCTGCAGAGTGGATTCAAGATCCTGATGGCAGCTGGGCCCAGATTGCCGAGAAAAGGGCCGTCCTGGCCCAGGTGGATGTGCAGACACTGTGTGAGTGTGGGAACTGGGACGGGCGTCTCAGCGGGCACTGGCCACCGGGGCCCCTAGATGGTCATCACTGGACTCCAGGGAACCCATTTCTGTAGCACGATCAGCCCCAGGGGTACTGCTTTCCTGTCAACCATGACCATGACTGATTTTCTCCGTCTAGAAATTGGGAGTGGGGAGAGGAGGGGCGTGGCTGCAGCGTCAGATTCAGGCCCCTGGGCAGCGGAGAGGGTCACATATGGTAAAGGGCAGGCCAAGCCTCTCAATCGCTGCCGGCACAGACAGAATTACAGGTGGGGACCCAGGTGCCTCTGTGCCCTCCCCCTATGACCCTCGTCCCCTCCTGTGTTTCAGCCAGCCAGCTGGCAGTGGCAGTGGGCCCTGGTGAACGCCGGATCGGCCCAGGGGAACCCTTGGAGCTGCTGTGCAACGTGTCTGGAGCGCTGCCCCCGCAGGGCCGCCACGCTGCTTACTCCGTGGGCTGGGAGATGGCACCCGCAGGGGCACCTGGGCCTGGCCGCCTGGTCGCCCAGCTGGACACAGAAGGTGTGGGCAGCCTGGGCCCTGGCTATGAGGGCCGGCACATTGCCATGGAGAAGGTGGCGTCCAGAACCTACCGTCTACGGCTGGAGGCTGCCAGGCCTGCTGACGCAGGCACCTACCGCTGCCTGGCTAAGGCCTATGTTCGAGGGTCTGGGACCCGGCTTCGTGAAGCGGCCAGCGCCCGCTCTCGACCGCTCCCTGTGCATGTGCGGGAGGAAGGTGAGCGGGTTGGGCCCTGATGGGGTTCCCGCTGGGAGCACTTTCCTTCCACGTCTGCTTCCCCCTCTCACTCTTCATCAGCTACATCCTGTGCCAGTTGCCTCCTTCACCAGGACTCGGGGACGACCCTGAGCTTCCTGGGGGGCTATCTGGACAAAGGCCCTAGCCTCATGACCTCTACCCTTTACCCTCTGACCTTTGCCCTTTTCCTGCAGGTGTGGCGCTGGAGGCAGTGGCATGGCTGGCAGGGGGCACTGTGTACCGGGGAGAGACCGCCTCGCTGTTGTGCAACATCTCGGTGCGCGGGGGCCCCCCCGGGCTGCGGCTGGCTGCCAGCTGGTGGGTGGAGCGACAGGATGACGAGGAGCAGAGTTCTGCCCCTGCCCAGCTGGTGGGCAGCATGGACCAGGATGGTGTGGCAGAGCTGGGGGTCCGGCCGGGAGGAGGCCCGGTCAGTGTGGAGCTGGTGGGGCCTCGAAGCCATCGGCTGAGACTGCACAGCTTGGGGCCCGAGGATGAAGGCGTGTACCACTGCGCCCCCAGCGCCTGGGTGCAGCACGCCGACTATAGCTGGTACCAGGCGGGTAGTGCCCGCTCGGGGCCTGTCACGGTCTACCCCTACACGCATGGTAAGTGACTTGCCTCCCAAGCCCCTGCCCTGTCCTTCCCTTTCTGTCTTCTCGCCCTTCTCCTCTGTGTCCTTACTGGGAAGAGCCCCTCAGGGCCCAGCTGCCCCTGGAGGTGGACTTGAGCACTGAGAGGGCAGGTGCTGGGCGGGGCTGGCTGTGCATGGACGGTGGGTCCAGAGAGGGAGAACGCCGGGCTAGGAGCGAGTGTGACAGTGTCTGAGTAGCCACCCTCTCTTGCCCAGCTCTAGATACCCTGTTTGTGCCCCTGCTGGTGGGTACAGGGGTGGCCCTGGTTACGGGTGCCATCGTCCTTGGCACCATCACCTGCTGCTTCATGAAGAGGCTGAGGAAGCGGTGATCCCTTGCTCCCCAGGTGAGGGAGAAGACACCCCACCCCCAGCTTTATCTCCCGAAAGCTTCCCTGTGCTGTCCTGAGCTGCTCTGTCCCAGGGCCCTCTTGGATGAGGAGCAGTCAGCTCAGCTCTGCAGGATCCTGCTTGTCACAGGATGAGGGCCAAGAAGGAGTCCTGCTTGCCCAGGGCTCTGTCCTTACTCCATTCTGCTCTCGCAGTTCTTGTAGGTGCCGACTGTCTTCCAGCCAGCTCCAAGCCGTCCTCTGTTTGCCTGAATACCCTTGCCCTCTGTCCACCTGCCTTTAATTTATTTGACCTGCTCCTGCCCAGGGTGGGAAATAAGACCCCACTCCCCATACGTTCCCTCCCAAACTCCTCCCTGGCCTCCTGTTCTTGGCCTCATACCCATCCTGTGTGAAGGCATTCCCCATCCTCGAAATAGTTTTTTTCTAAAATGTGAATAAACTTGTTTTATAAAATCCAGGCCTTGCTGTGTCTCCCCCCGCCGTGTGGCTGTCAAAGGCTGGGGTGTGCAGTGGGTAGGTTGTTGGCGGTTGACAACCTATTCTGAACAGTCTGGGCCTCTTCCTACCATAAACACCATCTGGCCTCTGTGAGCCTTGCCACGCACCCAGAAGGGGGCGCCTGGGTCCCATCGGCCACCTGAGTTGTCACTGCTGAGGCAGCTCCTCATGGGGCTCCTACATGGGGAGCGGAGCGTGCGGGAGGGTGAACTGCAGCTGAGCGTGGTCCCTGCTCCGCAGCCCTCTCCCAGGTTACAGGGCAGGGTGTTCCAGGGCCTGAGCCCTTTGTGAGCTCCCAGACTCACCACCCCCCTCAGCTCCTCTCCTGCGGGTTGTGCTAGTCCAGAGCCTGGCTCTTCCCGTCAGGCCCAGGGCCTCAGTCTTTTTTCTCCTGACTTTATAGTTATTCTGACAGCAGCAGAATAGTAGCCCCAGAACCCAGCCTGATGGGTGGTAGGGACAGTAGCAGTCAGGGGAGCCTGCACCCCACCCTGTGTGGCTTCGCTTTCACTTAAGGATTCTCTGGTCCTTAAATTCTCAGTTCTGCACCTTAAGAGGCATCCAGTCTACCTCCTTCGATTCAACTATTTAACATTTATTGAGTTTTACTAGTTTGCTAAGTCATTTTTACAGATGAGGAAACTGAGGCACAGAGACTTATGTGACTTTCTCAGAGTCATACAGTTAATCAGCAACAGTGTTGGCACTGGAACCCCCATCTCCTGACTCTGCACTGTGCAGTGGTGACCTGAGCGTGGTGGTGGTGAGGACAGGTGTGACAGCATCTCAGTGATTTCCGGGCAGGAGGGGCCTGCTGTAGCCTCAGTTTCTCCATCTGTTCCATTGCAGCAGCTTCAGTGCTAAATGAGTATGCGTGGGAACCAAGCAGCTACCCTTCCTGTCCGGTCTCCCATCTGTTTCACTGAATTAACTCTACCTCGCTCCCCGTTCCCCCGCCCCACATCTGTTCTTGGGGGAGCAGCCGATGCTAGCCTTCAGGGGCCCTGGCTTTAACTGAGGGTGACTCAGGTGGCCCTAGGACCTCAGACGGAAAGACATCCATGCCTGGACTGAAGGACTTGGTCCTTTAAGTCCTTTAAAGTGGGACGACCCCTTTTCTCCTAGGAGACACGCAGTGCCTCATAGGATCTCTGCTTCCCAGCCTAGACCAGGATGGACTGGGGTGCCTGCCTCCCCCAAGTACTTCAGACTTTTATGCAAGGACAGGAGTGGGGAGTGCCAGGCCTGGAGGGACATCTGAGACATACTCGCCCGAGCTATATGCTTTCTCCAAGAGGCCAACCTTTGGGCCTCTCAACTGACCCCAGGCCCCTTCTTTCCGCCACTGACCTCCCCTCTCCTGGGATGGCTCTTGTCACAGTGGTACAGACAGCAGGCCACAGACACACCCACAGGTCTGGACTCTGTTTTCCTCTCAGTCATTCCTGCCTCTTCAGGTTTTTGTTGTTGTTGTTTGTTTGGTTTTTGGTACCAGGGCTTGAACTCAGGACCTTATGCTTGAGAGGCCGCCTCTTCAGTCTTAGAATCTTTTCCTGCTTTAAACTTTTCAGCCTGCGCTCAGGTCTCCCTACCCACACACAATCCTCTACCCTTCCTATTTCTCCGCTGGAAGGTCCTCAGCTCACACGCCCGTCTAGTAGCGTCAGTGTAACCTGGGAATGAGTTAGACGTGTCAATTTCTAGCTTCCACCTGACCTATTGAGTCAGAGCCCTGGGAGAAGGGCCCAGCGATGGGTGTTTTAACAAGCTCTCTAGGCGATTCTGTACGCAGCAGTTTTACGACTGCAGGCTTTCCTCATTTTCCTTGCCTTACTCAACTTCTAGCTTTCGGATTCCTGAAACTCTCCCATCTCCTGCTCCAAGAGATTGCGCAGGTTCTCAGGGTGAGCTGGATCTCATTCCACCACCACAGGTTTATTCCTGTTCCTTCCATGAGCCTGTGTTCCAGGACGAGGAACCAGGTCGGTGAGTGTCCGCTATACCCAACTTCTCCGCAGTGATTTAAATGAGCCCGCAGAGCCCCCAAGGACAAACTCTGCTTTCCCAAGGGTTTCCCACTCTCTAGATCTTTCCCCTGGCCTTTCTTCTGCTTCGGAAGCTCTCTCCTCCTGCTTCTGCGGTGTTATCTGCAAGATCTCACTTCACTGTCACGAAATAGCCATCCCTCGTCCCAGGGCCCCAGCTCTGGCATCTGCTCCGGCTGCCTGTTCCCCCACACCCCGAGGATTAAGGTCCCTGACACTTCGCCAAGTTCTCTTGCAACCCTTTCTCCTGCTGAGCCTGTCACCGTGGGAAGGTGGAGGTGGGAGGGCACCATCCTCACTGCGTCCACCTCCACCCAGTCTTCTCTCCTCGGGTTCGGCTTAGGCTATTGTGTCCACTTAGGTGGGCCACACACAGGGAGGCTGGTGAGGAGGCGAGTGAGGACTGTCCCCAAAGCCACGCGTCTGGCCTGGGGCTGCGTCTGTCTGGAGGGAAAGGATTCCTTCTAGAACTTGCACAGAGGTGTGCTTCCCGTATCCACAGCCCATTTAACTGTCCATCAGCCCCCACCTTCCCATGCAGCCCCCACAAGTTCATCCTTCCGACTGTCCACCCAGCCATGAACAGATATGAAGGTCAAACGCAGACTGGTCTGTTCACCGTTCCCCGCCCTCCATTCTCCTGAAAACCTTCCTATTGGATCCTAGACTCAAGTTCTCAGGGGGCCTCTCCAATGTTAGCACGTTCCCCAGGACCCCGCCTGCTTTCTCCTCTTCCACCTCCACTATCCAGCTCCCCATGTACCTGTGTCTGGCTCCTGTCTGCCACAGGGGTCTGGAGCAAACCGGTCACACCTTGGACTCATCCTCTGGGGGTGGCAGGCAGCCATTCTGCTCCTTGTCATCCCCATCTCCCCCACCTGAGCCCTCCCCGGCTCCCTCCTCCTCCACCTTCTCATCCAGCCGGCTGGGGATGGACCAGTAGAGATGGGCATCAAGGCGGGCTGCAGCCTCTGCCAGCTCCCGGGCGCTGCATGAAGGTGTGGGCACCTCAAAGGTCTCATGGAAGCTGGCATAGTCCACCTCGTAGAAGCCGTCCTCCAGGGTCAGCACTGATGTGAAGCGGTGGCCCCATAGCACCTCGTCCACCAAGTAGGAGCTCCGAGCTTGGCACGTCATCCCTGGGGGTGAGGGCACAGGTCAGCGGGATCCCAGCTGCAGGGATCCCTCTCCTGCCTCTGCTCCCAAAACGCTGTTCCCAGCACCCTCCCCTCCACCCCTCCCTAAGGGCCCCCACCTTCCTTTGGTCCAGCCCTTTTTTGCCCATCCTCACTAAGTTTCCACTGGCCAGTCCACACTCCCCCCTCTTTCTTTGGCGATGCCAGTCAGAGAAGCTTAACCTTGGAACTTAACCTTAAGGATCAGCTGGTCTAATTCCCACTCCACACAGGGCTCCCCACTGGAGCATTCCCAACAGTGGGCATCTAGCTTGTACTTGGTTGCCTCCCAGGATTGAGAAGCTCATCACCTCACAAAGAACCCACTCCTTTGAGCGATGCCTCTATAGTTGGGGCATTCTTTTTATACCAGCTGAAATCTGCCTCCTGGGATTTTTCACCCTTGCTATTCCCTTCCCACTTGACACCTGTTTGGGTGTCTGAAAACAAGAGTCTCTGGTTTCCTTATGTCTTCACCTCTGAGACTGAAAATCCCTGCCTGTTCCTCAACTGACCTGGCTTCCACAAGATTTACTTTCTTGATTGCAAACCAGAATGGCCAAGGGGACCCGTAGGTGCCCCTCTGAGTGTGGCAGATTCTCCCACTGTGGCCTGATCCATATGTAAGAGAGGGCTCACCATTTCAAAATCTCTTGCTTCTGGCCAGGGTGTTTTAACTAATGGGGCCTGTGATTACCTTACATAAATGGTTTTGGAAGCCGCCTCACATCCCTGCGACATCAAGCCCATGGCCAACTAAAAACCCTCAGTTCTTTTTTTTTCACCAAAGCTCTTCCATGCTGTGCTTACATAAGTGATTTTTTTAAAAAGCCTAAATGTAGAATTTTATATTTATTCCTTTTTAAATGTCATCTTGTTGGGTTTTGGCTCATTACTCTTGCTTTTCAAAAGCACTCTGCATCCCAAAATATTACCATCCTTTCCGGCTTTGTCTCTTCAGAAACATCAGACATTTGCATCCCTACCCTATTCTCCTTTAGTGTCCTGTCTACCCTGTTGGGCGTTGCACCCCCAGGCCGGGACATTCTCCAAGCCCAGGGCCTCTCCAAAAACGAGTATGCACCTTGGAACCAATGGGGAGGGTTGTAGAAGGGTGACCGCAGGCTAACCAGAGGCTGGATCTAACGCCGAGACGCTGGCCCTGGGACATCTGGGTGGCACTGGCTGGAATAGGAAGAATCCGCTGGGAGACGGAAGAAGAGAAACAGCGAGGGAAGGAAAGAGGGAGGGGCGGAGAGGCGGAGAGGAAGGGGCCTGGAGAAAAAGGAATAAGAGGGCAGGGCAGAAACCTCCCTGAAAGGAGGGGGCCTGCCCGAGGTACTGGTGAAAAATGAGCAACAGCTGGCGAGCAAAAGGAAGGGCGGCGGGTTGAGGGGGAAAGAGGGAAGTGCTAGGGAAAGCCCCGGGAGAGTGAAGGAGAAATGGGAAGGAACGCTGAGGGGGTGGTGGAGGTGCCTTCGCGGACAGAATGAAGGGACCGGGGAAGGGCAGTGGAGACACCAGTACAGTGAGCAACAGCAGCTCTGGCCCTAGCGCCATGGCTGGAACTGCAGTGCCCCCTAGTGGGCCCTTGATTCTCCACCTGCATGTTCCTTAACCTTTAGATCTCAAATCCTTAAGGGACAGCTCCCGCACTGGTCTTCCCCTGCCTGCACACAAACCTTTCACTGTGTAGGCCTGAGATAGAGGTACAGACATCGCAGGTGAGTTTCCAGTTCCTTAGCGGAAGGGGCTAGAACTGGTAGCATTATTATTTCCCTTGTCAGTGGAAGCTGATAAGTCTGAAGCAGAAACGAGACCAGGTATCAACCTCTCCTTGAGGTCCTCTCCTAGGAGCAACTCAAGCCATGAACAACCTTGACCATCGAATTCCAGCGACTTACAATTATCAATAAGAAAAACCATGCCCCAAACCTCCATTCTGTCTCTGCATCATTAAACACTGAGGCGGCAGCCCTGCGTTCAATCCAGATACCACTTGCTACTTACTTACTTTCTTTCTTTCTTTCTCTTTTTTTTTGTTTGCACTGGGGATTGAACTCAGGACCTTGTGCTTGCAGTGCAGGTGGCAGAACCACTGAGCAAAATCCCTGGCCCCACCACTTGCTACTTACCGGCCTATGAGAGGGTACAATTAGCCTTTTCGTTGAAGCTAAGTCTCTAACAAATGAGCACAATACTCAGAAGTTACCCTCAGAGGGTTCTGGCTAAGATGAAACGAATTCAGAGATGCAAAGTGCTTTGGACCTGTGCACCTGGAGTGTTAGAGACTAGTCTTACTCCCCGATTCCAAGGGGTACGTACCTCTCCGTATTTCAGAGCATTTCTCAGTATTTCTCTCAGCCATTTCAGAGAATTTCTCCAAGCTTTTGTGCGAAACTGTGGGGTTCACGCCTTCCCTTGGCCCCTAGGTCATCCCACGTCAACTTCCCATCCTCCACCAGCCTCTCCCTCCATCCTCCCGCACCACCCTGACCTCTCTTCTTGCTCCTGCTCTTTTCACCTGGGAACCCCGCTCCCTCCACTCCTGGGGCCCGTCCGCACCCGTGGCTTCCACCATGCCCTCGAGGATGACCACGATCTCGAAGTCGTCCCGCTCCAGGGCGCGGCGCGACGCCTCCCAGAAGGGGCTGGCGGCGTCGATTTCGTGGCTGATGACGAGCGGCGAGACGAGGAAGAGGCGGTCGTCGCCCGTGTCGAAGCCCACGCTGAGGTCGGTCTGGTGCAGCGGGATGAACTCGCCCTCCAGCGTCTGGCGCGAGCGGATGAGCTTGGCACGGATGGAGGCCTCGACGATGTGCGAGGAGCGCAGGTCGCCCACGCGGAACATGAGGCACAGGCGCCCGTCGCGCAAGGACACCACGGCGTGCGAGGAGAAGACGAGCGTGGCGGCTCGCTTGTTGGGCTGCGAGATCTTGACGAACATGCAGCCCACCATGAAGGCGTTCACCATGGAGCCCAGGATGGCCTGCAGCAGCAGCAGCACGATGCCCTCGGGGCACTGGTCGGTGATGACGCGGTGCCCGTAGCCGATGGTGGTCTCCGTCTCGATGGAGAAGAGGAAGGCGGCCACGAAGCCGTTGAGGTTGTTGACGCACGGCGTCCACGCGGTGTCCTCCAGGTGCTCCAGGTCGCCGCGGCCGTAGGCGATCAGCCACCAGATGGCGCCGAAGAAGAGCCAGGTGAGCGCGTAGGCGAGCACGAAGAAGAGCAGGCTGAGGCGCCACTGCAGGTCCACGAGCGTGGTGAACAGGTCGGTCAGGTAGCGGTACGTCTCGCGCACGTTGCCCTGTTGCACATTGCACCTGCCGTCCTTCTCCACGTAGCGCTGGCGCCCGCGGCGCCGGGGCGGCTCCTCCGGC